TGAAATTTTCAAAGTACAATGTATTAAATATGTTTATTCTTGTCAAAAGACATCAAAAGGTGGAAAGACTACTACAAATCATATTATTCAATTCTAACCCAACTCTGCTACAGAAATGAATATCATCCTAGGCAGGGCAGTGATTTATTTCAGCAAATTAGCAGCAACTCACCTGTAGGGTTGAAGTGGATTCCAATCTAGTACTTCCAGAACTTCAGAATTGGCTGGACATGTCAGTGGGTATGCAGCTAAAGCACAATTTTAATTAACTTTGTTTCAAACATTTTGCAAAACATCAGGTAATGGTATCACAAGATACTCTTTAAAAATGAGCTAGGACTACTCAGGAGGCTGAGATCTGAGTGCTGTGGTTCGAAGCCAGCCAAGAGAGAAAGTCCAAGAGACTCTTAGTTCCACCAAACAATCAGAAGTAGAACTGTGGCTCAAGTGGCAGAGTGCTAAATTTGAGCAAAACAGATTAAGGAGTGTCCTGGCCCTGAGTTCAAGCCCCAGGGCTGGCACATAAAAAGAAGTTAGTAATCGTGAAATAGTAGTTTACCAAATCATTTCCACTACTATTCAATTTCATTTGGCATTACATATTGTCTACCAAAATCAAATGTGTTCTCTTTAAATTACTGAGGTTGATTTATGCAATTAAAATCTGAAGATGTAAAAAGCCACTTAAAAGATGCCTCCAGTTAAAAGGTTTATGGTTTCCTAGAGATGAAAATTGGTTTTTGGTTTCCTTGCTTCAAAATTCAATTCACTGAAGTTGAATAAACACCAATTAAATGTCTATTATTTGTTACATTAAATAAATAAGTTTTAAGTGGAAAGAATTCCCAGAAAAATTCCATTTATAAAATAGTTTAAAGTATCTTTATTAAATCTAATTTTACAATTTAAGTAACTTTTAGACACTCACAAGATTCAGTCAATACGATCTATGACTTTTATTCTTCATGTTCTTAGTACTTTTTCCTTAAGTGTATGTAAAGAATTCACATTCTGTAAGGAATTCAGAATATCATGGTCAGAAAATTTAAAATATTTTTAATGTTTACATTGGCAGATTTAAAGATCAGAACTTAGGTCCTGCTTATAGTTGAATACACTTGGCTTTCAACAGCTTTTTAATAATGGCATTTATATTGTCTTTGGCTTTATTACTAGGATGATAGGGAAAAATACGAGCACATCAGTTACATTCCTCACTCTCAGTATGAATGTGCACTGCAACAAAATTGCATCATATTATGGCTTTCACAATCAGAACTAGCTTTTAACTTTTTCCCATTATTTTTATAGGATGACAGTTAAAACCTTATAATTAAAGGTCCAAATGTGTGGGTGCAACACACACACACACACACACACACACACACACACACACACACACACAAACCAGAGAATCAAGGAATAGATGGCAAATCTGAAATACTGCACAAACAAAATCCATTCGTAACAGTAATGAGGCAGAGGCAGGGCTCAGTTGTGGCAAGAAGAAGTTATAAAAATCAGTCACTGTTGACATGTGCAGTGCATTGAATCACATTTGCAGCTATGTGCTGGAAGTAATTTTTATCTGCCAGCTGCTCCTGCCTCTCCTCCTAATATTTTGACATCGGTAAATTTAAAAACAGCTCTCTTGACTTAGTACCCTTTCCACTTCTGATATGGCTATCATGTAAGTTGAAGAAAGCACCTTTGTTTGAGAAAGAAGCCATTTACTCAAAGACTGACTTAAATTTGTATTAGGAATAGAACTTTGCTTTACATTTACATGCTCTAGATAAAACAAATTGGTTATTCTAGAGTTCCACTATTACTAATGAAGCAACAATCATCTTGCCAAGTCACAATCTCTATGTTTAAAGTTAGTGATTAAAAACAATTTTGACATGAAAATAAGAAGTTTTGTATAAGTGAATTTGATGTTATCTGCACTAATTCTACTAGCTTTTGTTCAGCCTGGTGACCTATGTTTGTAATTATTATAATTATAAAATACTTGCAGGTAATAAAGTATTTCCAGGGACTCAACTTTGAGAATCACAGATCTAGTTTTTGTTTAAATCCTTCTAAAAAGCCTATTTTCATGATCAGATTCTCATACATTAAATACAGAACCAGAGATGGTTTCTTAATACTATTTTACCCTAGAACAAAAACCGATGCTGTTGTTCTTATGACATTCCCTCCAATAGTTGAAGAAGTCTCCCTTTCCTTAAACTTATCTTCTCCAAAGTAACTGCATCAATTCTTCATCTTCATCCCACACGGGCCTCTCATCACTCGCTTTCTCAGTGGACACTCACTGGCAGTCTGTAACTACTCTGGGTCTTCTGGCAATGAAAAGAGTACTTCTTGAATACCTGGACTATGCACTGACACTAACTTGATGAGATTTTTCAGTCACCATCAAAAAAATGACAAAATAAGCCTACAGCAATTTTTTTCATCAATCTAAACTTACTTAAATTTTTCTCCTTAAGTTTTTGTCCTTCCTTAACATCAGAGTTCACGGTTTAAATGAGGGTGATAGAAGATAGTAGTTATTTTTCACACAAGTAAATATTTCATAATCTTATTTAAAATAATGATCTAGTATCCTAAAGCACTTAGACAAAAAAAGAGAGAGAAAATAAAAAGAACTCCAGCCACGGTGATACATATTATAATCCCAAGACTTCAGATGCTAGGTATGATAACCACTGGGAAGCCAGCCTGTTCTACTTAACAAGACCCTATCTCAAAAAAAAAAAACAAAAAACAAAAAACAAAGTTCACCTGTAAGTTCTTGGAATAATACAAAAAAAAATTGTGGCAGGCTGAGGAGTGTGGTAGCTCAGTGATGGTAGAACATGAGCTTGGCATGCATGGGCCCTGGTTCAATCTGTACCACCAAAAAGATACAAGACATTTGCAACAACTAACCATAACCCTACACTGATCATTCCTTCATTCCATTCATTTATAGTAGTAAGGTAAGCCCATTAGGCTTCAGGAAAAAAAGGATTTCAAAGTACTGTAACACTAATTCTAAGAGTTCTTAATTTCTCTTACATTTCTTTAAAATTTCAGTCACCCCTCACTTGATAGGCTGGTGTTCTACCACCTGAGCCACACCTCCAGCCCCTTTTTGCATTGGTTATTTTCAAGGTAGGGTCTTGCTTTATGCTAGGCCAGCCTGGACTGTAGTCCTCCTAACTTATCTTTCCCATGTGGCTGGGGAATACAAGTGTATACCACTGCAACCACCATTGTGTTACTCTAATAGCTGAGATAACAAGAGATGTGTCACTGTGTCCAGTCCCCGATCCACCACTTTCCACCTCTCAAGTAGCTAGGATTACAGGCTTGAGTCAAGGCAACAAACTTATTCTATTCTTTTATAAAGACTTGTTACCTACCCAAGACAGAGCACTTACTTACCTGTCCACTGACCTAATCTCTAACAAACATTTCTCAAGGACTCACTAGTGGACAGTGAGGATCAAAGAAGAAACTGCTCTGTGCAATCTAAGATTTTAAAAAAATGGCCACAAGTAACTCATCAGTGTATGATAAAAAAGCAACAGTATAAAACTAACTTTGTTTGCATTTTATATTTTATATACAAAATGCTTTCAAAGGCACTTAAAATAGGAAAGCTTACATATAATTTATAATATTAATTATACTAAATAAGGTTAATTCATTTCTGGCTTACATTAAGTAATAAGGTTTTCATTTCCATATACATAGAGCTCAAATCAAAAGATAATACATATAATTTGATTAAATTCTGTAGCTACTTAACATAAGTGACACTAGAGTAGTTTAAAAAAAACACCTCAAAACATCCAATAGTTTCAAACAAAAAGGGCTTAAGAGATTACCTCCACATTGTACACGTGAGAATGCTTCAATAAGACATGAAACACAAGTTCAAGAGACAGAACTAGAACCCAACACATAACTATTGGCTTGGAATTCATTTCAAAACTAGATATAAAAAGTATGCTTGCATTCTATGAAAGGGTAGAGTGATATTGAGATATTGTAATTATATAAAAGCACAGTACAAACCAAGTGTTGTAGTGGTACTTGCCTGTAACCCCAGCACTAGGGAGGCTGAAGCAGGAGTATCAGGAGTTTGAGGCCAATCTGGGTTATAAGGAGATCCTGTCTCAAAAAAGCAAAAATAAAAGTATAGAATAGTACACGATACTCCTGGAGTTACAGGTCACACAACCCAAACAACTCTTCTTTTATCTTTTTATATACCAACTATAAAAATCACAGAAGGAGCCAGAGGTCCATAGCTCACCCCTGTAATCCTAAACGACTCTGAAGGCTGAGATTTGAGGATTGTGGTTTGAAGCCAGACCAAATAAAAGAAAGTCTGTGAGACTCTTATCTCCAAATAATCAGCAAGAAGCTAGAAGTGGCGCTGTGGCTCAAGTGGTTGAGTGCCAGCCTTGAGCAGAAAAGCTAAGGGACAGTGCCCAGGCCATGAGCTCAAGCCCTAGTACTGGCACAAAAAAAAATTTTTTTTTAAATCCCTAAAGGAAAATAACTACAAAGCAACTCATACTAAAATTATTAAAGAAACATCAGTTTTGCTGAACAAATTTGTTAAAGATTAGAAGAAATGTCACTAGTAAAGGGTTGGTACAGTGAGAACTCAACACTACTTACTAATTTGGTACAATCTTACTGAAAGATAATTTGGCATGTTTTAAAGAGCCTAAGACATTCTCACCAGGCAAACCACTTATTCCATCCTATAACTATATCTAGAGAATGAGTCTAGGACAGAGTTATGATTTTATAATAAGGATGGCCATCCTACTATAAAATTGTCAAAAGATTAGAAACAACCTAAGGTCCAAAGACAACTAGTTAACTTATAGTATTTTCAAACAATATAGCAGCCATTTTTTAAAAACCACATTTTCAAAGACATGGGTAGGTACTTATAATAGGTTATTAAAAAACAAAGTACAAAACTATATGGTTGGTATAATCTTAACTTTGTTATCACACACACAGCACACTCATACACATGAATAGCGTAGACAAACACTGAAAGAAAATACAAAAAATATTTAACAGTGTTATCTCTGGGTAGTGAGAATTGCAGACAATTTTTTTTCTTTACACTTTTCAGTATTTCCAAATTTTCTACAATACCCATGTGCTAGTTTGATACTCAAAACATTATTCAAAAAATTCACTCTTGACAATTCATAAATTTTTATAGTCTATATTAAGCAAAAAATAAAAACATATAGTACTCAAAGTATATCTAAATAAATAGATATACTCAAAAGTATATCTGAATAAATAATTGATGTGTAACAGTATAGTTTCTACACATATACGTGGGTAATTTTGAATCTAAAAGGTAATTTTATCTCATTCTTAAGTATAGAAAATTGATAATAAGAAAGGCAAATCTTTAAATAGAATTGGTGCAAGGCATCTAAAGTTGTGCTATTGTCATAACATTGAAGATATAACCACCCTCCAATGAAATACAGATAACCAGTGTCCTGTTAAAATAGGTATAATACACAACATGCATGGAGGCTTAACTGACTGAATTACATTTTGTTTTTTGCCAAAGTGACTAGAATTGATCTATGTTAAAGAAATAAATACAACACCATACCATTATTTTAGTTGGAAGAGCCGCACCAAAAATCAGGCCAAAAAAATAGGACTATCAGAAAATCCAGTGGGTTTTGCTGCTGTTGTTAAATGATTTCTTGCTAAAAATTCAAGTAAAAAAGTCAAATTGCTCAGAGCACTAAAAAAAAATCATAGCAGTGTATGGTCTGCAAAGATTTGAAAAATACTAGCAACACTCTTCAATGTTTCTTCATTTGCAGACTATCAGATATCATCTCTGAAGTAAAGGACTGATCTATGTCTTTTACCATTCTTCAATCCATAGTCTACCAAATACTGTAATGACATGGGGAATGTCACACACAAAGGCAAACAAATATAATTTTTAAAGTTAATTATAAAATCATATTGATTTCTGTGATTAAAAAAATCACATAATATGCAAAATATAAAATACATCCTAAATATATTTTTACATAGAGCTGAGGCTTACCATTTTAACAAAAATTCTGAAATGGAATTAATTTTTTAAAAAACAAATTTCATATATACCACAGAGCAATAAGTTTAAATCAGACTATTTTGAGTTGTGTAGCCCTTTATTAGCAACTAAAATAGAAGGTATCTGTTGTACAACATGGGTAGTAATTGTCTACTAACTGGGGTTTATTGTATTCTAATACAGATCATTTATAAATGCAATTCTTTATTAAAAAGCTTCCACCCTTATTTTGTTTGTTTGTGTACAATTTGCAAAACTATTTGAAAGCGGAGTATATGTGCACAAGTCTGCAAAGAGTGCAAATTTAGGATATGATAAATGCTTTACAAGTCACTTCCAAAAAACTGCCACAATTTGGCCTTTACATTGACGTCTCTTTTAATCAAAATATTTTTTGATGCCAGCCTTCATTCCACTGCCCAAAACTATAAAGCATTTACTTAATGAGTTGAAATTAAGAAGGACTACACCTACTAGAAAAGAAGAGAAGAAAGTTCTATTAGTTTGAGGTTTCAGAATCCCCCCAACCAAAACCAATGTCTCGGTAAGGGCTGGGCTGGGACCCGGGCAGAACATGAGTATGTGCAGGTGGCATCCCTGAGGATTCAGTTTCAGTGGACCGTGAGTGCTCCAGCCGCGTAACTCACTGAACTGTCTTGCCAGTTTCTACACTGGCTGGACTGGGCATAATTCAAAAAGGAAAAGCTCATATTCATCCCATTCTTCTGGAGTTCTGTGATAGCCTAAAAAAAGAAAAATCTGGTTATGACAAATATCATATAAAAAGCTGAGCAATCTGAACATGATGGATGTTTGACTGCCCATGTCACTACTGAAGCCTAAATTTCTTTCACCCTTATTTTCATAAATGTGTCTATTAAACAGAAAAACTGAGAACTCATTTGATCCTCCAAGACTCACTTCTAAAGAAGCTTGCTCAATAATTATACATCAGACATCATCCATTCTACCTTTTACTCTGATTTTCAAAAACTGTTTTTCAATAAAACATTTTCTGCTTTAAAATGTTGCATTAATATCTTGAAGTTTTTGTCTAACTTTGGCTAAATTTGAAATGTGCATAAATTTTCAAAACTAAAAGACATGCTAGGATTTTTTTTCCTTTACTTATGGATTGGTCATTCATTTAATGAAACTTTTCATTTGGTGCAATTCAGACTTTAGGTAATCGGTGTCACTTATTCTAGCTCAAGCCTCAGGTATTTATTTCCAGGTAGTTTCAGCGCATGTCAGGCTATCTCTCAGTATACCTACCCAGCTTAAGGGAAAAAACCTTAAGGAAAAAAGTCCACAACACATTGTCCTTTAAACCATTTAACAGAATACTAGACAGCAGAAGCTCTGCCTTGCAGATTATTTCTCTGCCTTTCTAAACAAATCAGCCACTGTTAATTCTTGAGTATACATTTTCTCTCTTTTTTCCTTAAGTCCAGTATTTTACTTACTAGAAGGAAAAATCAATGTTTTATCTCTTGAAATCCAACAAAACTTCTGTTAGTACTCTTTAAATGAGATGGGAATTACCATTTTTGTTTTAAAGAGAAAAGCAGACTCGTCACCTTTCCTGCATCTAAAGTTCAAGAGTGGGAATTTGCACTTATCACTTTGGCTTATATTTATAAAGACATACTGGACTAAGGTCAAGAGAAAATATGACTATTCTAAATAACTTTCTGTATTTAGCAGAAAATACAGACCTGTATTCCAAGGGTCAGTTTATTCACACACTGAAAACTGGCCATCTACAACTGTGTTACAGGTACTAGGAAGAAAATGGACTGTGTGTACATACAACCAAAGACAATAATAAGCTCAATGCTTAAGAAGATATTTTAAAATATGACAATATTAAATGTTAGAAGTCAAAATTTCCAAGAATACTCACATTTAATAACACCCCAATAGGATGTCTTCCACATATAGTATTATGGTATTTCTTCAAGTAATTGCTAAAAGATACAGGATCTAATTGTTCTATAATACTCATACCCTAAAAAGGAAAAAAGAAAGAAAAAACACAACTTATTATTCCTTAATTATATTTTAAAACTTAGAGCTAGACATAATTAATAGACAGAAAGGAAACACATTAATTTTAGTGAGATAGAAAACTCATTCATCAAAGGAAATCCCATTATAGTTAATTCTTAACTGACAGAAACCCAGTTCATTTTCTCAAAACTCCAGAAATGTTTCTACACCACCTTCAATTGTCATCATTTAGCTTACAATCTTCACACATTTCACAACATATTTTCTTTAAATTAAGAACACTATAAAAATAAGCATGCTAGCCGGGCACTGGTGGCTCATGCCTGTAATCCTAGCTACTCAGGAGGCTGAGATCTGAGGATCGCGGTTCAAAGCCAGCCCGGGCAGGAGAGACCGTGAGACTCCCATCTCCAATAAACCACCAGAAAACCGGAAGTGGCGCTGTAGCTCAAGTGGTAGAGCGCTCGCCTTGAGCTGAAGAGCTGAGGGACAGCGCCCAGGCCCAGAGTTCAAGCCCCACGCCCGACAAAAAAAAAAATAAGCATGCTGTAAAACTTTTCACATAAAACCTAAAATTAGATTTGGGTTATGGTTCATTTCTCCCAATGTGGTTTCCTGCAACTGGCATAAAGAATCAAAAGTCTACCAAATGTAACTATTTCAACAAGATACACTTATATATCAAGGTGTGTAAAGTACTTTATCAGTCATTATCTAGGTATCTGATTAAAAAGAAAACAACATAATCTAAGAAAATAGTTAAAGTATTTTAATTAATTTAAAATTGATGAGGGGTTTAGATTTTTCTTTTTACATTTTAAAATGCTCTACTTTCAATATTTTAATTCAGAATATTTAGACTACTGTTAAAAGGCAATCTGTACTCTCCAAAAACATTCAAATAATACATAATTCATAATCCACGGTAACTTTTATTCACTGAGTCAGGCAAATAACTGGTTCCAACTAATTTGTCACCAATTACCTTTCATTATTTTCTCATTCAGGTTAAACACTTTATATCTCTGTACATCTAAATTACTACCCTCTGGAGAAATATAAGTGACTTAAATGGCACATTCTGTGTGATTTTTAAATATTACCTCACATTTTCACAGAACAGGTATAAAAATGCAGCGAATAGTCAGAAGAACAGCTATAAATAATAAATCATCTGGAAAGTATAATAATCAAGAAGTAACAAATTTTGTAGTTAGGGGTTTCAAAATGTAATTGTATAAGTTTTTCAGAATATTCATAACTTTTACAAGTATCAATTTTACTACAAATGTATCTAAAACATAGCTTGTGCATTGCTTACACAAAATTAGGCAGATATAAATCTATCCACAACTAGTTTTTTGTTGTTGTTGTTTTGTTTTGTTTTGTTTTTTGGTCAGTCATAGGGCCTGAACTCTAGGCCTGGGCGCTTCCCTCAGCTCTTCAACTTATGGCTAGTGCTTTACCACTTGAGCCATAGCACTACTTCTGTTTTTTTTTTTGTTTGTTTGTTTGTTTGTTTTTTTTGCACTTATGTGGTACTGAGGAATCAAACCCAGAGCCTCATGCATACAAGCAAGCACTCTACCACTGAGCCACCTTCCCAGCTCCCACAACTAGTCTTTAATGCAGTCAGTTTCCCCTAACAACCAGGAGCCTTCCAGGTCAAAAATAATATACGGTGAAAACTCAGAGGAATATAAACTAACTTAAAAGTTAAATCTAAGAGAAGCAGCTAAACTCTGGTGAAAAGGAAACCCTATAATGTACTACTAAACTAACAAGCAGTAATGCTGAAACCAAATAAGAAAACTCTTTAAAAACATGGAGAATGAAGATTGTATCTCCCCTAAATATGAAAAATTAATAATATGAAAATTAATTATAATAATTCCTTTAATTAATGCCCCCATATAGATGCTTACCTTGAATAGAATTCACTAACAAAAGCTATATGAAATTGAAATTACATACATTTTAATATTAAAATCTCCAAGTACATTTGAAACAAACTTCATATTTAGTTTGATTTGAATTCAAAGAGAAAAAAACTGATAGCTATTTATAGAAGGCAAGGAATTCCAAGTAGCAGTTAAGAAACCCTTATCCTGAAAGATTTAGAATCATAAAAGTAGAGAAGACTCTAAGAGTTCAAAATGAAGATAAATGAACTAAATTATAACAGCAAAAAAAATTAAAATAAAATAACTGACATTAAAGGATTAAATGTATTAAAAAAAACTTTAATTCCTTAAAGTATGTTATATAACTACTAGTGCAAGAGTCAATTGGATTACACTCAAATATACAAATGTGATCTAAAGGTATGCCTTCTTATGTAGGAGGAATAGAGGAATTTGGGCTTTTCTCACAAGTGAACCTTTCCAACTAGAATTCACAAAGTTTGGAACAAAAGTAATGATGATAAAATCATAAAATTGAGAATACTGACAAATACATTTTACATACATTTATCTTTGATGCTAACAACTGTGAAATGACTACCAAAATTCTAAACAAATGAAGCTACAAGTTCAATGTCATATCAAAACTCCAAGAAGATGAAAAGCAAAGGTTTCCCTAAATACATGGATCCTAACTATGCCGGAAGGCATAGTCAGTAGGTGTAATGCCCACGATCGGCAGAATAAAAATTTGACTGTATCTCTGTACAATAAGCTGGGTTATTGTCCATCAGATCTAAGTTGGAAAGCAAACATTATAAATATCAAAGCCTATCCATTAAGAGTATGAAGTTATTAGGTGATTTAGCAATTTTTAAAAAGAAGAAATATAAAGAATGAATACTAACTCCCTAATTTTGAGGGTACCATTTTGTTAAGTCTCCAAATAATGGGTGAAAACTTATAATGTCAAGTCTCTATCAAGCCTCAGTCCTAAACTGAATAAGCATATTTATTAACTGAGAGAACTGTAAATTCAGGACTCTGGTTAAAAAAAAAAATGCATTTAAAAATACAGGCACTGGTGGCTCATACCTATAATCCTAGCTACTCAGGATGATGAGATCTGAGGATCATAGTTTGAAGCCAGCCCAGGCAGGAAAGTCCATGAAACTCTTATCTCCAATTCAGGCAGGAAAGTGCATGAAACTCTTATCTCCAATTAACTAACAAATAACCCAAAGTGGAGCTGTGGCTAAGCTGTACCGTGGCGAGGGGGGGAGGGGTGGGAAGAGCTTACCTTACATTTAACAAAATATCTATTTAAAGATCATACAGGGCCAGGAGCAGTGGTGGATCTAGTCTGAGGCCAGTTTCAACAGAAAGTAAGCAAGACTCCATCTCTATCAATAAGGCAGGCATGGTAGAACTCCATATCTACAGCTATGTAAAAGGCAGTAAATAGGAAGATTACAGTCCCAGGTCAGCCCTAGGCTGAAAAGTGAGACCTATCTGAAAAATGACCAAAGTAAAACAGGTCTGGAGGGACATGGCTCAAATGGTAAGGCACCACCTAGCAAATGTCTTGAGTTCTAATGCCAGTATTAAAAAAAATTACACAGAAGTAAATAAATCTATTCTGAAGTAACAAAATCAAAAGGGAAGCAAATACTTTTTGTTTTGTTTTTGTGCAGGTCCAGGGGCTTGAACTCTGGGCCTGAGCACTGTCCCTGAACTTCTGTGCTCAAGCCTGGTATTCTACCACTTGAGCCACAGTTCCACTTTCAGCTGTGTGTGTGTGTGTGTGTGTGTGTGTGTGTGTGTGTGTGTGTGTGTGTGTGTGTGTGTGTGTGTGTGTGTGTGTGTGTGTGTGTGTGTGGGTGTGGGTGTGGGTGTGGCTGTGGGGGGTTAACTGGAGATAAGGGTCTCTTTGAACTGTGATACTCAGCTCTTAGCCTCCTGCATAGCTAAGATTACAGGTATGAGCCTCCAGCTCTCAGCTAAGAAGCATCTTTTTAAATGTTTAAGCAACAAGAACAAGAATCATATCTTTTAATAATAACCATTTAATCATAATACTGTCAGTCCTTAGAACTATTAACCTAAAGTATAAAGTAAGGATGTATATTTATATGAGGTAAAACACATGTTCAGGGCAAGGAAATATGTTTGTTTCTTGAAAGATAAGACAAAATCTTAACAATGAAAATAATTCTATGCAAAAAAAGAAACCCACTCTAGCAATGTACTAATAAAGGCTGCCATACAGATAAAAAGGGTGATGTGACAAATATGAACACTTTATCTTTCCAAACAGTAAGAAGAAGCAAGTAGCTGATACTCAAGTTAAATGAAGTGGCCAAAAATTCTGACAAGCTGGGAAGCTGGGGCTCACGACTATAATCCTAGCTTCTCAGGAGGCTGTGATCTGATGACTGCAGTTTGAAGTCACCCAAGGCAAAAAAGTCCAAGAGACTCTTATCTCCAATAAACCACCAGAAAACCAGAAGTGGAGCTGTGGCTCAAAGTGGAGAGTGTTAGCTTTGAGCAAAAAAGCTCAGGACAGCACCCAGACTAAGTTCAAGTCCCAAGATCAAAATTTTAAAAACATTCAGACAAGTTATAATGAACACTTGCAATAACATTTTCTTCTGCATTATCCATAATTCACTGGAGGCTAGCACTTTACCACATGAGCCATAGCTCCGTTTTTGGCTTTTTGCTGGTTAACTGGCTTTTTCTGGCTGGGCTGGTTTGGAATCAAGATTCTCAGATCTCTGCCTTCTGAGAAGCTAAGATTGTAGGTGTAAGCCACCATCACCCACATAACACGTGACCATTTTCATAATAAACATGTACAAGTATGGCTCATATTTCAGCCAACCTGAAATTCACTAAAATCAATTTCTTAAAATGTACCTGCTTTTGTCAGGATTATCATGGACATTGCAAAATACTAATTACCAAAGAAAACAAAAAGATCCATAACTGATAAAAATTACAAGACTATCTATACTATAATACAGAATTTCCTAACTACATTTGGAAGATGCATTTATTTTCATATCTCTTTGTGTTTGCATAATTAGTTTCC